ACACACACACACACACACACACACACACACACACACACACACACACACACACACACACACACACACACACACACACACACACACACACACACACACACACACACACACACACACAGGTAGTAATAATAATTAGATTTATAGAGAGCTTTGCAGACACATGTTAAAATGTATAAAACATTAGCACAAAACACGTCAAATATACAAGAGAAAATATATTGCACTAGCAGCAACTAACCACTCCATTGGATGACACAATAATGAATCACAATATTACAAGCACTGAACAAGACCAAATTGTAACTAACCCTATTAACTTTACAAGCAACTTCACCACTTTGTGAGATTCATGGCTCCTACTTCTCAACAAACTTGATTATCCTGAAAAAGTGGGGTCTAACAGAAGCAGTGATGAAACACAAACACACAAACACACACACACAATTGCATGCAAACTGCTGATGAAAACGATGTAGAATGAAGGAAAAGTCCGAACAAATTGACCTTGTTTGCCGTGTCCAAGGTCATGAATGCATTTTTTTAAACTACATCTGTTTTCTCTTATCATCGTTTGCCTGTCCCATAAAATCAATGTCCTTCTTTTGTAAGTTCCTTCCCTTTAATCTGTCCCCAAAAACACCTCACAACAAGTACTGACTTAATTCTGCATTACACACTCCAGTCACACACACACACACACACACACACACACACACACACACACACACACACACACACACACACACACACACACACACACACACACACACACACACACACACACACACACACACACACACACACACACACACACACACACACACACACACACACACACACACACACACACACACACACACACACACACACACTTTGTAGGGCAAATCAATGAGCCTTGGCTCTCTGAATATATGCTGCCAAGAATGGTCAGCCGTGACCGCTCAAAGACTCTTAAAGAGAAAAAAAAGACGAGACACCCACTCACTGCGCTGAGCACCCAGTTCATTCAGCTACTGAACTACATGCTCACACACACTGTGACTCCACTCCGTAGCCTCCCTCTCCTTCCACATCTAAAAGAGTTTTGAAGAGACAAAAATACAGGAGGCAGAACAGAAATATTCAGGAGCTGTCTGTAGAGCAAAGATGGAGGAAGATGAGAGCGTTACATGCCTCACTACACTGAGATATATGAGAACAGATCTCAGGGACACAACTCCCTTTTGACAGAACTCGACACCCATCCCATACCAACACATCGGAGCAGAAAGGAATGGCTTTATTTCTCATTGACAACGAATACTGCATGAGTTGACTAAAAGCTCAAGTAGGGCAGCACCATTAATCAAAATGTTATCAAAAGGACTGATGCATTTTTTTAAATTGGCGGTAGCACAATATTTGTTAAATGCTGAAGTGTTGAAATACCATTTTGAATGAAGTATTGTGGAGCAGCAGAGATCGCTCGCCCCCTACAAATTGTATTAAACAGACAGAAGAAAGAGTATTTGTTTTGGATAGACCCTCTTAAAGGGGCACTATTATGCTGTTTGGGGGTTTTCCCTTTCCTGTGATATGCTATATAGGTTTTAGTGCATGTAAATGGTCTGCAAAGGCTAACATCTCTGTGAGTTTCTTTCAGCAGCAATCACAGGAAGTAAAGCACCCTGACTCACACTCTTACTCGATCCGTTGTGTCTAATGGTTGTTGTACTGCACCAGGATCAGTGGCTAGGTGCTCTTCCATTGCCTCCACTACTTCTTAAATGTAATGTGGCTCAGTGAAGCTTGACAAGAGGACAAAGCAAGTGTTTGTTAATACAAAAAAAAGAAGTCAGTGATGCTTCTCGGTGTCTCTGAGCCCTCTTTCCTCCGACCCGACAGGATTTGTGCTGCATCCTGTGTCACAGCCTCGTTGGAGGATTTATAGAGTGCTCCCATAATGCACTTCCTCTCTCCGAAGGGGGGACATAAATCTACCTCTGTTATTTTTGTCAACCCCCTTTTTTTTTATTTGCTAATAGGAACCTTAAATTACAACCCTCCTGGCTTTCTTCATGGTATTGTGCAGAAGCTTGCATGCAGACGGCCTATATAGAAAACCATAAATTATAAAAACCTGCGTCAATTAATCCTGCAACTTTACAGTCATAAGAAAATATAGCCACAGCTTGAAGCTTGTCGCCCTAAAGGGTGAATATAACACATGTTTACAGACTGGAAAAATATGTACAGTGTGTTTATCAGGACATAATAAAGCGGCAAAAAGGTTCCACCAACAAAGAGCCGGGGTGGTTGAATTAAAATACACTGCGCTGGTAATGAGCTATCTAAATTCAGAGTTCATATTTGCTTGGAATTACACAGAAGCGGGTCTCTGGGCAGCGAAAACACTCAAAAGCTCTTTACGCTTCGCTGCCAAAAGATTCTCCCGTTCGAACGGCGTCACGCTCCGTCCCGAGGAAATCGTCTGAGCCACAGCACGCATCCACAAATGCAATAATTCCTTTGTAACCGACATCACATCCTCGCCCATTTGTTTGCATATAGGCCTACTTGGCGGCTGTCAACATGTTGGCTGCACTTTATCACTCTCTGCGGGACACACACACACACACACACACACAGACACACAAAAAAAAACACACACACACACACAGGGGTGTAAAAGCGTTAAGCTCTCATTACTGACAAACTCTGAAACACATACTAAGCAGATACGTGGACATGTAGCGACACACTCGCATGCTAATTCTAACGGGATGACTTGAGGGTGACGGGTGATTAAAGGAAGTTGCACATCCTCGCTTTCCTGGAATGAAACGGTGGCTAAACTCGAAATGACAGGAGTAGCGGCGCTTCAAAGTTATCTGGAAAACAGCTCCACATATTGGCATCCTTCGCCACACTTAATAGGAAAGGACTATTTCAGTCATCATTTTGGTGGAGAAACATCCAGGGGAAGGAAATGGGAAATTATTTCGGGGTTTTTCGTGCTTCTTTTTATGAGTTGTGCTTCCTGCCAGGGTACAGGGATTGGAGAAAGGCAGGGAGGTTCAGTGTAGCAACCGATCCTGAACACAACACACTCACATTTTCTCCCGGATTCAACTATACTGTGGCCCTTTGGGAATCAATTAGAATCATGGTGCGCCTGGTTTTTCCGCCCTTATTGACTCGGCAGCAATTTATTTACTCCACAGCCAGCTCCTGGTGCAAAAATAGAACAAATCCTTTCTATAAATGCAACTTTTTCCTCCTTCTGTATTACATGTGAACAGGTGAATACACAGTATCCCCAAATTAAAAGTTAACGCTTTTTAAAAACAGCACACACATATTCATATTGTCACCCTACGGCTCGTGATAGTCGCCTCACTGTGGCTCGCAAGTAAATCCTATTTAAATGAAAGTGCATATGAGGCAAAAGCTTGACCTCTGAGTTAGGTCAAGGCCTAACAGCTCCCCTAGCATATGTTTTACACACACACACACACACACACACACACACACACACACACACACACACACACACACACACACACACACACACACACACACACACACACACACACACACCACACACACACACACACACACACACACACACACACACACACACACACACACACACACACACACACACACACACACACCTGAGTCAGGAGGATAACAGCTCATCACACTTCTGTCTCTCTGACAGGTGTCACCTTGTAATTTCTTTTTTCAGTTTTCAAAAAAGCCAGCCTCCATCTGCAGGGAGTTGATTAGCAAAAAAAAAAAAAACTTGTTGCCGCATTCACCTACGACACATGCCAAGCCCACTGAGGATGGAGGTGTCCCGCTGCAGTGGGGATACCGGCGGACCTAAAAATAGCTCGGCGGTGAAGGTATGGAGTACATTCTCCACATCTGGATGTCATCATATGTGCCGCTCCGGGGACACTTAATGAGATAATTGCAGCTGTGATTTAAATTAGGCTGTTGATAAATACCCTTAATGTACATAATGCACTAATTAGAGCTGCTTTGATCAACGTTTGGGTACATTTACAAAAGCTGCTGCTGAGTAATGTCAATGTGAATACCTTACATTCATATAAGATAAGTCATAAATGTGTGATAATACAGGTAGATAAAGTTGAATACAGTCATCATAGTGGGCAGATAAGAGATAAGCAGATCATTTTTTTGTTCGCTTCAGCATAGATTAACCTTAGCGTTCAATTAGACCTCCCTGTCCCACTGAGTTGAATGAATTCTGTTTAAAAGTGGCTGTTCTTTATTAAAAACACCAGATGCATTCTGGCCATTTTAATATGTTAAAAGGCATTGCACTTTACCAAATGCTACCTCTTTGCAGGTTTCCACATCAAACTCCACTTCCCTCCTACCCATCTTCACCAGTCACTAACTAACAGGGCAGATCCAGTCTCATAACATCTTTCAACATTGAGCGTTTGCATCAAAATACAAGAGAGCACTATATCACACCAGCATTGCAACTCCCTAAATCAACACTACAGTGAATCCACATGAGATTAACCCAGAAAAGTACGCTTCAAAAAGGTCACAGCGAGCTCCATACTGAACAGAAACACTCTATATCTCCATAGAGCTGCAGTAGGGATGCCAGGAAAGATAAAATAGACACCCTCAAGTGCTATAATACAGTTACAATTATTAAGTGTCTCCACAAGTCCAAATAGGAACACTGCGGGAAAGAACATGAAACACACACGCAGCATGTAGCCTGGTCTGTATCAGATGGACATTTCTCTGCATCCAGCGATAATAAAGCTGTAGTGCACTCGCAGTTTGCGCCACAAACACACACACACACACACACACACACACACACACACACACACACACACACACACACACACACACACACACACACACACACACACACACACACACACACACACACACACGCACACACACACGCACGCCACGCACACACACAGCAGGCAAGTTGCCCTTCACCTACCGTACCTTTGGTGTGAGAAGCGCTCAGACCCAGAGCCAGGAGAGCCAACACGCCGGATATTCTCAGCATCTTTCCCGGTGGAGGATTCAGCGACGGCACGCCGACTTCTCTCCTCTCTTCTGCTCCTTTCTTTTTTCCTTCTCCTTCTCCTATCTTTTGCGCGGAGTGTGGAAAACAGTTCACTGACTGATATGTGGGACAACTAAGACGCGGAGTGGAAGAACCAGGAGGAGGAACACCGGCGCGCCCGAAACGCACCTCACCACGTCGGATATAAAGGAGAGTGGATGGAGGAGACAGCTGCTGGAGCTTTCTGCTGAAACGGGACCGGAGAGCAGCAGCACCCCGGGACCAGACCGAGCCACGTCACAGGAGGAGGGAGATTCAGGCGCCCCCTCTTTCTCTCTCTTTCACTCTCTCTCTCTCTCTTTAACTCTCTCTCATCCTCCGCCCTCCCTCCCTATCTCCTCTCTCTGGAGCTTTCAAGCCTCCGAGCAGGCATCTGTAATGAAAGCGATTGAAAAGCATCTTGCTTAATTGACTCCATAAACAAGTCCATAAAGAAACCATCACATGAATTAACAAGATATTAAAGTATTGTGTGATATAGAGTGGTGGGTGGTAGCAAAGTACTGTTACAAGTACAATTTGAGGTACCCGAGTATCTTCAGTTAATGCTACTTTATACCTCTACTCAACAATATCTTAAAATCCAATTTTGCCCATTTTACTTTCACTACATTTAGTTGACAGCTTTAGTTATAGTCAGATATAATTATTAAGGTTGACATATGTGGCAGTATATAAAGTTAGCCTATACACATTTATTTCACATTAATGCATCAATAATCATATATCAGTGATTTAAAGGGGCCATATTATGCAAATGTTCAGGTTCATATCAGTACACTATACTTAGTGTCTCTACTGGGACATGTGTCCATGCTTTAATGTTCAAAAAGCTCTTTATTTTTCTCATACTGCCTGTGCTGCAGCACCTCTTTTCACCCTCTGTCTGAAACCAGAGCTCAGTCTGCTCTGATTGGTTAGCTGGCCGGCTCTGTTGTGATTGGCCAACCACCTAGAGATATCCCGCCCAGAGGTTGCACTAGACTTTTTCGCAGGATTGTAACATTTCCGTCAAAATCCATTATTACCCATCGGTCTGTACAACTCTGACAGGGGGGGGGGGGGGCTTGTGAACTGTCAACGGAGGGAGGGTGGGGGGGGGGTGCACGCTCGTGAACTGTTAGCGCTGTGTTATGCATGCCCACTGCACCTCGCGGGAGCGCGCACAGCGTAAAGCAAAAACTCACAGACATTTCAATGATTTGTACGGCAAAGTACGGTTTGGAAACGATATCATTTCCTTTTTGGCGGGCATGCATAACACGGCATAACACCGGAGCCTCGCTGCGGGGAAACTTTGGCGCTGTTCTGAGTTTGTTCTAATCTGTCAAAATGACGGACTGCTTTCAGGTTTTTCCGTCATTGTTAAAAGAAATCCGTCATAGACGTAAAATATTCGGTTAACGCGACCACTGGTCCCGCCCCTTAGTTTATCACATTCTATGTGTTGGAGCGCTAGCCAATAGAAGTGCAAGTGTTACATAGTGATTGGCAGGGGGGAGAGAAACTCCCTCTGGTGGGAACTTTAGGATTTGAGCCTTTGCAGACCATTTGCATGCACAAAAACCATTAACCATGCTACAGGGAACGGGAAAACCCCCGAAACATATACGGGGCTCTCTCAGGAATATTTTGAATGCAGGACATTTACTTTTAACATAATATCTTTACAATTTAGTATGGTTACTTGACCATACTAAACTTACTACTTGGTTACTAACTTATTTAAAAGTACTTTTCCACCACTGATCATATTATACATGTTGATAATAACACTATTAATGTCTACTATGTCATAATCAACTCTCTCAGAAACACTTGGTGCATAAGTAAAACTATATTTAGATGAGTACAAATACAGAAGTATCCATTCAGAAATTCAAGAGGAAGCAGTGAAGTTCACTGTACTGTCAAGGTGTAATATAAATATATAAATATTATAATCATATGTAAGAGAACAAATCCCATGCAATTAATTCACTGTGAAACTCAGACTGTACAGTATTTCGTATTTACTCGCCTAAGGGTGCAGCTATCCTTCATATAACATCCTCATTATGATATATTTGTAATTGTTTCTTCAGGCTGGATAAGAAATGTTATCAGCTTAACACCAGTCTCGACCACCTGTTTTTTTCATTTTCTAATTTTAGTTTGAGTTTCTATGAAAGGGAAAGATTGACCAAATGTTATATAATGTAATAGTTGAATGTAAATGTTATATGCAAATCGTCTGCATTTATTATAACCTGAACTCCAAGGATTTTCTTTCTGAGACATGGCTCACAACATGGCTGCCATGTTTCACTGAAAAAAAGTCTTAGGTGTGTGTGTGTGTGTGTGTGTGTGTGTGTGTGTGTGTGTGTGTGTGTGTGTGTGTGTGTGTGTGTGTGTGTGTGTGTGTGTGTGTGTGTATGCACAGAGTTGTTGTTTTTTCGGTTGGTGCCGGGCAGAAGGATTAATAATAACTTTTTCAATTTTCCTGAGTAGCCTATCTCAAAGGAACTTTTCTCTTGGACTATCTCCGCTGGTTAAGGATTATTCCGGGAGGCAGAGAAAATATTGCCAGCGTTATCTACAGGGAGAGGGAAATAATACAAACAGATGACAATGCACAGATTTGAATCCACACCGTGCAGTGCGAAATTAAATGTGGTCTTCTTTTCACTGGCAAATGACCTAAGTGGTTAACAGCAACAAAAGGCTTTCCTGGGCTTGTGTGCAGAGAAATAACAGAGAAATGACAGCAGTGTTTCTCAAACCGTGGGGCTGGGACCCTTTAGGGGCCTCGGCTACGTGAGGAATATTGATATCATCCATTATAGAGTGGTGCAGAAACAAGTCCTTATATCTGGAAATAACTGAGCATTTTACTGCTTCCGCTTCCCTCGTCTCCAAGTTAAGGGCTTTTTGAACATTAGATGCCTAAAACAAAAGGTCTGTGGTTAAAACAAGTGAAGAGATGTTTTATTTGATTCTACGCCATACAAATATGTTAGTAAATACACCACATGTAAACGCCCGAAGCTTCTATATGTCATAACAACAGCTAAAAGTGACTTTAAGAGACACAAAACTCCATCACTCCGACATGAAACATTAGCGGTGGTGACGTGAAGTCATGTGACCGTGATGTAGCCCAATGTTAGCTTTTTACTTCTGGCCGATTGCTATAACGCTTTAAAAAAGGTGGTGTCAATATGTGGAGATTATTCTGTAAGTATCATTAATGTGTGTTTGTCACAGAGTTATTGTTATTTTTTTAATGCAATTTACCGTAATCCAATGCAAAAATCCTATTGCTTTGTGTTGAGGGAGCGATGCTAACTTCCGGGTCGGCCTACTTCAAAACATTCTTTTGTACACATAATAGAAAATCAAAATGGGTGAAAATGAACCGTCACTTTCTTTAACTTTTATTCTTGTGTTTTAAACCTGTCTTGTTCTATTTTCATTTGTAGTCTCGTGGCTTTTTAATGAAAGTTTTAAATGTATTTAAGTCCGTGATCTGGCCATTACCTGAGACTATGTCATGGCAGGTGTATCATGGTGTTTTTTATAATATGTTCATGCCGCACGATATATGTTTGGCATTTGGAATTGCATCGTGCTGAAATGTGCTGAATAAACTTGCCTTATATTATCAAAAGCTTTTAAAGAAGATTTAAGCAGGCTAATATATTCCTTAAGGCTTTACAACACAGCTGTATATCTTCTCCAAATCACAGCCATTAATCAACAAAAACTAATATGGCAGCACAAAAAAAGTCTGCACGATAAAACTAGTAATTTGATCGTTGAGCATGGCGGGTTATTTTCTGAGTTTAATAAGGCTCTCTATATCAGTGACCCAGCTGCATCAAGAATATACTTCATTTTCACCATCAAGGCCATTTTCAAAATGATCACCTGCTACAAATGGGCAATTTTGTAAGAATTCCACTTCTGCGCTGTATGATTTTCTATACTTTTTTTCACACATGATGCCCACCAGGCTACAATAACCACCACCCTGGGAAAAGTGAATTGCGAGCTATAATGCTAATGTGGTCTCACACTGTGTCCGTCTGTCTGCTCACAGTCCAGAGGAATAAAACCTGTGTGTGTGTGTGTGTGTGTGTGCGTGCGTGCGTGCGTGCGTGTAGTTTAATGTGCTTTCTCTGTATTTCACCTGTGGGAGAGATCAGTGATATACATTACTGCCAGCCATTTCCCGTGTAGGTTGCTAAATGATGATGGAAACAATAAGAAGATGAGGATATTAGTTTCAGATTGATGAGCGTAGTGTAATAAATGCATAATGTAAGCTGACAGAGTGTGCACCTCCCTGAATAAGTAAAGCACCAGCATCGATTTAAATAAGATGCTTTTGAAAGCGCTGCTGCCTGCAGGGGAGGCGCAAGGACAACCTAAAAATATCACATAACACTTTGCATACCAAAAAACACAGCATCACAATGGCCTCTGATGCTTAAAGGAAGTCGAAAAGAAAGTTTGATTGTAAATGAATCACACCGTAATGAAAGCAGAAGACTGACTCTTTAAAACGACTTAAGTAGTGCAATCCATTACCCAGATAAAGTGAGATTAATATTAGTCAAATGTAATGACTTATTCTGCATTAAGGCAAAATTACCCAACTTGTGCGTATCTTAAGGGTCTCATTGATTTTAATTTTCATCTGAATGGAAATGAATGGAAACCAACCAGAAAGTAAGGGGTAGTTTCAAGGACATTTAGAGAATTGTACTTATTTGGACAGAGCTTAAAGAAGCCCTATTACAGAGGCAAGAATAATAATATATGTGCTTTTTAAGTATAATCATGATTGCATATGTTAAGGTGTCATCTCATATACAGTCTCTGACATAATGAGATTAATTATAGCAACTGAAAAATAAAATAGTCGTTAATAAGAAGCATTTTGCAAGTGCCTCTGCTCTATCTATAAGGGTTCAAGGTTATAATATGATCGATAAACCCATTGTGCTAGAGCAGGGGTGTCAAACTCAATTTCATCACGGGCCACATCAGCATTATGGTTGCACTCAAAGGGCCGGTTGTAACTTTAAGACTATATCATTAATTAATATAACTTCATAATTAACTACGTCTGAAAGCAGAAGTCTAGAGCAAATAATTGCAAGTCTCTTCAGTAA